GGTGAAAATGAATGTGAGGAAGTTTAGGCATATTCGTAGGAATAAAATTCATCGACCGCTTTATATTGACTTATCTAGTTAGTGGAGAAGTAAAAATTTGGCATAGACTATTTGCTATTTCCTTGTTAATAGGATTTATTGTTTCTTTAATTTCCTTTTTTGTTTGTCTAATCGGCTGAATACTGGCTCGTAATGAATGTAAAAAATTCGCCGTGGCAGAAGCAAATACCAATAAAGAGAGAGAGAGAGAGAGAGAAGAATAATAATTAAAAATTATGGAAAATACGAAAATTTATCACAAGTTAGTAAATAATTGTAATAATTGTTGAAAGTCGATTGGCGAAGATGAAGTTATTTATCGAGTTTTGATAAACCAAAAAATTATTGCTTCGGAGAAGGCCAAATGAAAAAATTCAGTCGGGATTGGCAATATTAAAAGTAATGGAGAAATCACAGAAACTTGGATTCAGTGTGGTGCTTGTTATCTCCAATGACAAAAAGAATTAGAAGATGGCAAAGCAAGACCAATCAATTGGTGGTTATGGGGAACTTTACTTTATTTAATTTTAGTTGTTTCGGCGGTTTTTAGTTATGAAGGACATAGTCGAGGGGGAAATACTTTACGGCTTTTTGGCGGGATAGGAATTTCTGAACGAGTGGTAATCATCCCTATTATTTTTCTCCTTAGCCTTCTGACAGTGATTTTAATCTACTTAATTTTTCGGCGTAAGCCAGTGGTAGTTAATCGCTTCAAACTGCGAAAGAAATAAAATGAGGAAATGAGAAAAAGTTATTTTTTGCCGGAATAACCAATGAGGAAAGAAATACGAAATAAAAGAAATGAGGCGAGGCTTCGTTACCAACTATTTGTTGCCCCGTGAAGAAATTATATTTTATAACGAACAAAATCAGAAGTGAGTAGAAAAACAAAAAGCCAAAAATCTTTTTTTAACCGCTCAAGCCCAAGAATTAGCGAAGAAAATCAGTAATTTTTCTTTGTCTTTTACTCTTAATAAAGACGAAAAAGATAAGGCCTTTGGTTCAGTCAGTAGCAAAGAGATTTTAGACCGATTAGTAGAAGCAGGGTTTAATTTACGAAAAAGTCAATTACTCAATTTTCACCCTCTTCACAGCATAGGAGAAAATTACGTAGTAATCAAAATACGAGATAACATAACTACACAATTAAAAGTGATAGTAAACTAAGAAGGGTATCCACGATGTCTGTGAAAGAAATTACGAGTGAAAAAGATAAGTCTTAGTTGTTCCAAATTTATCAACTACTGGATGATTGAAAAACAAAGTTGTCCGATTGGAAAAGTGAATTAAAGTTTTTTCCCAATTCAAAACCGGAGAAAGTCAAGGAAATACAGAGAAAAAGCGATGACTTAATAAAGGTTTTGAAAGAATTACGAACAGAAGAAGTTTAAAATAAACTTGTAAAGTATAACTTTACTTATTTTTCTAAAATGTCAGGTTTAGGACTTTGCTGCTTTGAATGCGGAAAGGAAGTTTTAAATATTTCAGAATTAACTAACTGCCCTTGCAAAAACGATACGAGAGAAACAAAAATAGCAAGAAACAAGCAAAGAATAAAAGATAAATTAAAAGATAAAAGAATTGATAAAAATAGCACGTGAGAACATGATGGCATGATTTTTCATTCCATCGAAAGCTTTTCGGAGCATATAGACACATGTCAAAACATCTCTTCAACAAGAGCATCACCTTATGAGTTAGTATGTGATGATTGTGGAAAAATAATAGAAATTATTTTATCCTTTAAAACAATACAAAAATATACTTGTTCTTGTAAAGTCGAAAAATACATTAAAGAAAATTCTATTGTGGGAGTCACAATTCAAAACTCAACGCACCTAATTTTAAGATATGATACAGGAAAAGAAAATAGAGTAGAAGTAAATAGCGAACAGTTAGAGATGGTTAGAGACTACTACAAAGACAAATATCAAAAAGAAGTAATAGCAAAACAAGAAGAGGAACAAAAGGAAATAAATAGATTAAGAGATGAAAATATTTTTGGTTTAACTACAAAACATAAAATTGGTTGGTCAATTTTCTTTATTTTAGCTCCAACTGCTATTTACTTCATAAGAAAGTATTCTAAAAAACTTAAAAAAGAACAGCCCAAAAATTTAAAAGAGGAAATCCAAAATAAATTTAAACTATGGAGATTAAACATGGGATTATCCGTGCTTTTTTATGCTGTTTCTTTTTATTTACTGCAACAATTCATCAATAAATGAATTAGACCTAATATTAAATGATGCCTAGAAAATCATGAAAACACAATCATTTTATCCGTGACGGGAATCTTAGGAGTTTTATTTTTAGTGGATAGTTATATATCTTCTGAATTAAAAACTCCCCTGCAAAGACTAGCTATTAAGATAGAAAATGCTGATATCGACGAAAAAGAGAAAAAAGAATTATTATCTAAAACTCAATGATCTAATGAGAATTTTAAAGAGACTTTAAAAAGATTTGGATTATTGACTATTGCTGGGGCTCTCATTAAACTATTAGGAAAAGCCTTTGATGAAAAATTTATTGCTAATTTTTGTTATGTCATTCCGTTAGCCTTTGGAGGTTGACAAATTTATAAAATTGGGGAAAGAGTGGCAAAAATAAAATTACACACTAAGTCCAACACTTCAAGTTAGCAATGCATTGTTAAATTCCATTTTTGCGATTTTTATTATTGTATAATAAATAATGTAATAAAGTTAAGTATCATGAATAAATTAAAAAATATAGAAAGCTTGGGACAAATATTAAAATTATTGTGTTCCATTCATTTACTTAGTTCTAGTTTGGTACGGTCAGTTAGTCCGCAAACTTATACCTTAAATTGTGTTTATAGCGAAGAAGAAGTACTTAATAGAGATGATGACCTGAGAGGAAACAAACATATTAAACATATAGTCAGTTGTGGTAATTTAAGTTGTGATTATTATAAAAGATTGTTTAATAATAGAGGGCTAGATGCCAGCGTAGGAGGTCCTGCCGTTCTGGCAGCCACAACCACTGCATTAATGTTCGCTTCTGAAATAGCAGCTCCGTTTACTTTTGGATTGTCATTTGTAGCAATTAGTGTTCTGTCTTTTGGAAGTCTTGCAGCCGGTGATTATGTAAGTGATAATATGATAAAAAAAACTATTGAAGAAATAGAAAATGAACTGAAAGAAAAGTGAGAAACTGAACAAAGTAATATTAGAATAGAAGAGAAGGTCGGTGAAAGTTCTCGGCTCACAAAATAATCATTTGGTAAAAGGCAAAAAAAGAGCGAATAATTAGAAAAATACATGGTTCACACTGAATGCCAAATTTGTGTTAAGAAGGTATTTTTTACCAAAACTGATTTTGCCAAAGCTCATGGTAGGCAAGAACTAGCTCCTAGTGTCTGAATAATGAAAACAACCAGAGGAGGTAGCAAACAATCCCCAATTAACTCTTATAAAACCAGTGGCTGGCAGCGGGGACAAAAAAAAGTACTTCGTTCTTTAAGTTTTTTTTCGTTGGCCTTTTCTTGGACAACTTCTAATTTTTCAATTAAACTTCCACAATTGTTATGACAAGGTTTTCCTTTTCGATTATAGACTTTTAATTTATTTTGAAAAGAGCCTTCTCTACTTAAAGGATTAACAAAATCAAATTCCGAAGTTCCTCCTGATTTTAAAGCCTCTTTCAAAATAGTTTGGGCCGAACAAATTATATCTTTTACTTCTAATTCAGTAAGTTGGTTAGTTTTTTTTAAAGGGTGGATTTTAGTGTCAAAAAGTATTTCCGAAGCGTAAATATTGCCAATTCCACTAATTATTTTTTGCTCTAATAAAGCATTTTTAATGGGAATTTTTCGTTTTTGGTAATGCTTGAATAATAATTCAGCGTCCACTTTTTCGTCCAGCAAATCGATTCCAATATTTTTGTAAGGCTCCGTCTTTTTATAGTCCTCAAAAATTTGTAGACGAAAGCCCCCAAATCGGCGAGCATCACGATAAGTCAATCTCATTGTTTCTCACCCGTTTTCTAAATAAAAAGTTAAACCTTTTGCACTTTCATTATTGTGCTTTTCAAATAATTTCTTTTGCTCTGGGGTAAGTAATTTTTCCTCTATGAAATATTTTCCGGTCATCCCTAAATGACTAATTAATACATGGGTTTTGTTTTTTTCTTGGTCGGTAAGAATAAAAAACAATCATTTTCCTTTTCTTTCTATTTCATGGATAGTTTTGCCTGCTAGTAAATTAATAAATTCTTCCTCACTGATGTTTTTAATTAAGCTCACTCGTTTATTTGTTTCGTCTTTTGGTTTGTAAATTTCTACTTTTCGAAATTTTTTTCCAATTATCTCGGCTCTTAATATTTGGCGAACAGTTTCTACTTCTGGTAATTCAGGCATTTAAAAAAAATTCAAACAACGATATAGTTATTTTTAAGTTCTTTCTACGGTGCTCTCGCGCTTTTTATTCTTCTCATAGTTAGTTGTTTTCAGGCAAAATTTGAATTTGGGCTTGCAATTATCGTTGTATCTTCTCCATAATATAAAAATACTTGGTCATTTTTAACCAACTTAATAACTTCTCCTTCTTGCGGGGAAAGAAAAGCATTGTTGCACCCATCAAAATTGTTATAGAATATAGTAAAAGAATTTACTCTTTTTTCACCTGATTGGTCCTTAACTTCTTCGCATCCAAATCTCTCTTGATGATTTTAAGAGATCCAAGAAAGGGATAAGATAAGTGCTTGTAACTTCATTATTATCTGCGAGGATAACTTTAGAAGTACGAGTTTTAATGACTGAATATAGAGTTTTATATACAGAATAATTTGCATGTGGGTTAGGAATTTTTTCTTTCAGACAAGAATCGGCATTATCGTATATTCCCTTGATGATACTTAATATGAGTTGATAATCGTCTCTCATATACTCAAAATCACCTTGTTCGGGAAGATTACAGAGAAAATCAGTATATGGTTTTCAATAATGATTTTCATTATTATTGTTCTTGCAAATAACTAAAAAAATCGTTAATAAAGCCTCGTCTTTTACATGTTGTTTTAGTTTTCCATTGATAAAAGCGGAAAGTTATTTAGTAAAGAAAGATACCAAAACTTCACTGCTGCTGTTTTTACTGATTGGCGTTCATTGAATAATTTCAACAAGAAATTTAGTGAAGAAAAAAAAACAATTTCCGAGCAATGTCCGGAATTAATGACGGAGGATGGAAGGGAAATCAAAGGAAGTGATTTGTGGGGAGCAAGAAAAAGTATGAGATTTACCAAGACTTGTTATTAAAAACATTAACGTGAAAAGGAAGTTATGTTAGTGTTTTTTCTCAGGGAGTTGACTTAATAAACTTTGAGGAGAATTATTGGCAAAATGATGATTTATGCTTGATAATATGAACGAAAATGAAAAAATGATTAATAATGATTTAATAATTCAATATAACAAGCATTTAATCGATAGGTGATACGAAAAGAGCGAAAGTGAGGAAAAGAAAGTTCTTTTTGAAATTTATATTGATAAAGAGTTTGCCAAAAACAAGTTTGAGGAAGAAATTAAGCAAATTTTAGAAGAGACGACTAATAGTAAAATAAAAATAGTTGTTAAACTTAATTTAGATTAAAAAGATTTTCCGGGAATGCAAATGGCAAATATTATTGCTAATGTTTTACAAAGGGATTATAAAAAAACGGTAGAACTAATGGATTCAAAAAGCATTTTAAGGAAAAAACTAATTTTAAAATAGCAATTTCTAAAACGTGAGAGAAATTAGAAAAATAGAGAATAGCAGCACAAAACAAGTTCAAAATAATATAAAAATTACGGATATTTAATAACATAAAAAAGTTGATAAAAAATAGGTAGACGGGGTGAACAAGATATTAGTTTCATTAACGCTACTTCTTAATGCTATCATTTTTTAATTTATTATATTATTTTAGTTGCTAAATTTTCCAAAAATTTCTTATGCCTTTTTTTCTAATTCTCGTTCACACTTCCGACAAAGTCCACTCTCAACACTCACCATCTTATTTTCGTAGCACTCCCCGTATTCGTTTTCCACTTCCTCTCTTTCGCCCGGTTTTTCTTTCTCTTGCCAGTAGGCATCGTATCTTTGTTTAACCTCACGGCGAATTTCTTTTTTTTCTTTACAATCATAGCACGAACAACCCTCTTTCCCTCTTTCCTCGTGAAATTTGGCTAACTTGATTTTTCTTTCTCATTCTTGCCCGCGGCTTTCTTGTCATTCTAATTTCGCGGCTAAACCTTGTTCTTGGTGAAATTTTTCCCGGGCTCAATACTTAATTAATTTCTGCTGCTCGTCATAATCTAAAAGATTTCAACTTCTTTCATC